TTTTTTCTTCTTATGTGGATAAGTTTGAGTCAGAAGAAGTGTGCATCAAGGTGTAGCAATTCATGGAAGCAAAAGATGTGCCTCAAGACTTGCAACACATGCTGCCAAAGGTGCAACGACGGTTGTGTGCCGCCTGGCCCCATGGCTAACAGAGATGTTTGCCCTTCCTATGCCCAGATGAAGACCCATGGCAACACATACTAGTGCCCTTAAATTCCATTTTTCCATTAAGTGATTTGATTAATTACTCATTGTGGTTGAAATAAAAGAGAATAATAGAGGAAGAGAGAGTCAGGTGAAAAACAAAAGAAAAAAAAAAAGAATAATTTTGTGCTTCTCATTTTATATATGTAAATAAATGTAAGCACAAATCTTAGCTTTGTATTATGGTGCTATGACAAAAAGAGAACAATTTTGTGCTTACTTTCCTGGTTCGTTGTCTGGTTTTACCTTTTTCTAGCTTTTTTTTTTTCCTTCATCTTTTTCTACTTTATTATCTCTTCCTCTATCACTCCTTGCTCTTTCCGTTTGTTCTTTCTTTTGTAAATTAATCCCCTTTTTCTTGCACTCACCTTTTTCCTATTCCCCCTTTCCCTCGTTCTCACCTTTTCTAGTGCTTTTCCTTTTCTGTTTTTGCCTCTTAGAGATTTATGGATGAGAAAGAAAAGGAAGAAAAAAGGATAAATTTTCTTTTGGTTTTAGTTTCAGATGAGTAGTAGATGTTTTAGACACGACATCGATAGAGATGGTATTGATGGATTTCAAGGGTATATAGATGGAAATGTGGTGTGCCAATAGCCCTAGAGCCTTTTTTTTTTATTTTTGAACAATTTTGTAAATGATCAGATTCGAACCATTGCCCAAAATAAAAAGGATGTATTTTAATGTAGCTTGATACTAATGGGCTCGAAAATCCAAATGCAACCGTAAAGCCCTTGACCAAGGAGCATAGGCATAGCTCTTTCGGAGGTGGGCATTGTAATATATTCTTTACTTTTATACTTTGTATTTTTTCATAAATCAAATCACAATAAATTATATAATAAAAAATTACTTTTTAAAAATGTCTTTTCATTTATTTTATAATTTAAATTTAAAATTTTTAATATAAAAACTCAACTTCTTAAGAATTACAAATAACAATTAATATATATTTTGATTTTATAAATTTCATAATATATATAATAAAAAATTACTTTTTAAAAATATTTTTGTATTTATTTTATAATTTAAATTTAAAATTTTTAATATAAAAACTCAACTTCTTAAGAATTACAAATTTCTATAAACAAAACTTTTATACTTTGTTCTAAATATTTATTGCCTCTGTGTTGCCCTTTAAATAGTTGTAAATCCTTATCCTATGTGATATATGTTTTCTTACTATATGTAGATGTATGACTTGTTGACTACAAGAAAAACTTTAGCTGAATAAAAAGAGCATACGTAATTCCTTTCTCAGAAAAGCGTGAAATGCATGATAAGCCATTCTTATTTTAGAAAGAAATTGAAAGAAAAAAATTGCACTCAATATTTAAAAAAGATTCAGCAATATTTTGTGACAAATACTTTAATACTAATACGAAAAGATACCAAGAATACCAACGATTTGATAGTTTGAGTATAATGAGATCGATTCTTTTTAAATAAAATTTCAAATTTAAGTTTTATAAATAAAAAACAAGTACTAAAAGTTTTAAAAAAATTTATCTTCTATAAAATTTGATCTGGGTTAAATTGGAATTAATTAGGAGTCAATATAATCTTTAAATATTGAAGAATACTTTTAAAAAATATGAATGGATTGATAAAAAATATTAAATTAATTTCTGTTAATTTTTGTGTCTAACAATATTCTTTCAAAAAAAACTGTACTTATGTAAAATAATACTACCTATGTGCAACTCTAGGTTTCTTACTAACAATCGAAAGCTTTCTTTTTCTTCATATATACATATATAGTTTTTATTGAGTAGTTTCAATTAATTTTGAATAAGAGAATAATTAACGGGGTATGATTAAGAATTGATATGAGAAAATAGAGGCGCTTGACTGAGTATCAATGTTTTTGACTGAGTATCAATGTTTTTACTCCAGTTGTTATATATGGGTTAGAGTACCTCTTATGCTCTAAATTTAATAAAAATATATATTGCTTTAAAAAAAAAAGTTTCAATTAATGAAAGAAGATTTCAATTTATATATCGGAAAAATCAAAAAGTTAAAGCAATACAACTAAACGGAAATAATACTACTATTAGCCACTATAATAATTTAATATCTATTATTTTCTTATTTATCTTTAAAAATTTTTAATTTGTGCCCTAAAGGTACCTTTTCATTATTAATTTATATGAAACAAAAATAAAAGTTAATTTAAGTTTCATCAATCGTCTAATTAAATCGTTCTATGTAACATTAACGTTGAAAATAAAATTTACTTTCATGATTTTCTAAATAAAATAAAAGTGAAAATAAACAATAAATACACCCTTAATTTATATCTTTACAATACAAATTAAAAAAATCCTTTTTATCTTTTTATAAAATAAGAAAATATTTAATTAATTACCTGGTCATTTTTTAAGAACTAAACCTTTGGTAGTATTGCTATTGAATAGGCTGGCTAGCAGCACCACCATTTTTCCCACTATATATGAAGGCATTTGCTTTGAGTTTCTTTAAACTGCAACCTACTCTTTCTCAGATCTCATCTCCAATACATTTCTCTAAAATCTCTTCATTTCCTTTTTAGTTGATTTGTCCCAATAAGGTTGGCGATGGCCAGCATCAAGACCACAATTATACTGGGAATTCTCTGCCTTGTCCTATTGCATGAGGTATGTAATTTTAGGGTTCTTATAATTAAGATCGATATACATAGAATAGAAATACTAATCCCATGGTAATCACGGTAATCTTCTCATAATTAAGATTTGCACTTGAATAAAATAAGTTGTGTTTCTTAATACATCAAAGACAATTAATATGCATGAAAGTTTAACATAATCTTTAATAGAAAATGTTTATTTTCTTTATTTACTAATTAATAAGGTCGACCATGTCATAGTTAATTTCTCTATATTTCTTAATTTTTTTTTTATATATACCTCATCTTGTTTATAATTGTATGATTATATATATATGAACGACATTATATATATATATATATACTATTTTTTTTTCCTGCCAATTTCCAGTTCGAGAGCATGAATATGGCTGGTGCAGATGGAAAGATAGGTAAGAATTAATAATCATACCCTAATTTCTGTACAAGCTAATTTTAATTTTTTTTGCTAAGTAACAAATTTAAGTTCAAATGAGTTTTTTGAATATATATTTTAGCAATGTTTTTTTTTTTTTTTTCATATGTTACGTGTATATATAAGTGATTTTTGCATGTTAAAATTAAAATTAGGAAAATATATAAATATGTATGCAGATTGCAAATCAAAGTGTGATTACAGATGCAGCAAGGCGTCAAGGCACAAGATGTGCATAAGGGCATGCAACACATGCTGCCAGAGGTGCAACTGCGTGCCCCGGGGACTTCAGGCAACAAAGACGTTTGCCCTTGCTACGCAAACATGACCACACATGGAGGCAGGCCCAAATGTCCTTGAAATCTACCCACATACCTTATGTATCTGAGTTGATTCATAAAATTACAGATATTCCAGGACAATTACATCATTGACGTAAAATTAATGTGGTCTTCTACCTCTTTAACATTTCGGCAGCTATGATATATAGACACCTGAAAATACTTAATAATAAACAATTAAATTAATATACCATACGTCTACTAACAATCTAAATAATTTAATGATCATTTCTTTTCATTGAAAATAAAATATTATGAGTTAAAATCGCGTGATATGCGAATAAAATGAACGAAAAGATAAAATATAATTACCTTTTATTATGCAATCAAAATAAAAAAAAAATTACCATATGCTTAGGATACATGTGCAACATCATTACATTTTTCTAAAAGTTTTATAAACGGTTTAAATTAACCTTTTCAAAACAACTAAAATTAATAATTAATATCTAGTGACTAAAGACTAATTATTATTATTATTTATAATTTAAAATATCTAATTTATTTGATTAAAACTAACAACTGACAAGTTAAAACGAACACCCTTTAAACTTGCACTTTGCCTTGCTATTTTGGAAAAGGTGGGAAGGGTGTGGGGAAGAGGATGACTAACAGACTTTAGTTTTATAATGGTAACTCGTGCATGAATTATAAATTAAACAAGCATTTTCACCGTTCCAAAGCTTCATGAACTAAGAGAAAATTATAGAAGATATGATCATAACGCAAGGCCACTTTGAGTTCTATCTTTTCTTTCTGTGTTTATTAAGAGAATAGTAAAGTGATAAGAAAGTCATTTTGATCACTAAGCAGGTAAAGCAAGAGCTCCTTCTAGCCCATGGCATATTTCTGTGTCCAGCTTCGAGCAGTTGCTTCAAACTTGGCTTTATCATTCTTGTAGATCTGTGCAATCTCAGGCACCAGAGGATCATCAGGATTGGGATCTGTCAGCAGCGAGCATATTGACAATAGAACCTGCAAAACGAGTTAAAAACCAAAGATTTAGAAAGGTGTTAAGCCAATTATCAAGCCCTATAGAGAGAATACAGCACACCAGAAAAAATACATTGCATTGGAGCCAAAAAAAATAAAGCCCTGATCAAACAGAGAATAAACCTTAGAAACTGTAAGTGCAGGACTCCACTGCTCTTTGAGAATGTCGAGGCAGATACTGCCACTGCTGTTTATGTTGGGGTGATAAACTTTTGTCTTGAAAGACACCTGTGCAGAATAACATCCTAAAGGAGTGAAAGCCAAAAAAAGGGAACAAGCTATTTGAAGGGAAAAAGCAAAAGGAGGAATAAGCAATGTGATAAGATCAAATTAAAGATGAATCTTTCACTAGTTCTTGAAGGAAACGATGGCATCTGGTTCTGTCTTTTTAAATATGATTAAGCTTATCAGTAGAATGTAGTTACCTTAGGAGGTTTGAAAGGATAGTCCGGAGGAAAGTGTATTGTCACATTGAACACACCACCAGCATAAGGGCTATCAGCCGGACCAATAATTGTCGCTTGCCAGTGGAAAATGTCATCACTAACAGGTCCTGCAAACACCTTAGAAGTTTAAAACAATAAACTCTAACTATAACACCACCTTCCTAAAATCTAGCATGAGAGAATCTAGGCTAAGAATGACAACAAAAACCACCTAATTAAAGAAAGGAGATCAATAAAGCACTTTTATGAAATGTACATGGAAAGAGGTTGGTCCAGACTCCATACTATCAGTTAAAAACCCCCCATATTTTGTTTCCATGTAGGAAAGGTAATCAAAGGAACGAACATTATCAAAAGAAAAAGATAATAATTGATGCATATATAATGCGCTTACATCGACATTGTAGACCAACTAGAATGACCAGAAATCCAAAGAGAATGATATGAAATAAGATAACCCTATAGAACAGACCTGCACTACAAGAGACGGGTGGGTCCTTCTGCAAGTCCTTCAACTCCTTGTTGATCCGTTTTGTAGCCATATCAAATTCTCAGAGATTTGATACTTCCAAAACAGAATTCTGGCTCTTAAAACAAAAAATTCGAGATAAATAAAGGAGAACCATTACCAATTGATAAAGTAGCAACAGTAAAACTGTACAGCTCTTGGGAATTTATTAAACTAAAAGTTCAAAATTTCCAAACTTGAAACTTTTACAGCTTAGGATCCACAAGAAAAAAGAAACAGATAATCGAAAGAAGAGAAAAATGAATAAATTGACCCGATAACCTAAACCACATCAACAAAATGCGCTAACGCACACACCATTTGGGCCTTTGGCTGGGGACATGAACTCCCAAGCCAACCCACGTCTAATTTTGGCTGGAAAAGACAGTGCTTTCCCCAGCCAAACAAGAAAACGCATGCATTTAGGCCCATCCTAAGCAGAAAAACCTTTATTCTTTTATTCTGCTATTATACGAATTAGGGAAGTCTTGAGTTACTACTATTACAGAGCCGAATTAAATACCTAAACACATGAAAAACTCTAATCTGAAAGCAGAAATGTTAAAATCGTCAAAATTAACACTCCAAAACCCTAAAATCCATCACAGGACAAACAGATTAACACTCTTTATCTCCGCATTTTCTTAGATTTTGACCGTACAACTTCTAAAATATGCAAAATTAAAATAAAAAACGCATAATCTCTTGAGCTAAAACACTGCCCGCTCTGTATCAAAGATCAAAGCATCAACAATCAAATCTAGCAGAAGAAAACAAGCACCAATAGATATGCATCGACGATCATGAACGAGATCGTGTAAATGAAAAATCAAGAAACAGAGTAAACATAGATATCCGAAGAATTCAAGAGATGAAATGAAAGAGATCTGAGATGCGAAACGAACCTAGCTAGGGTTTTGCTTGCGTGAGGGAAGAGAGCAAGAGCAAGGACAGTATGTAGCTTTTAAGGTGAGAAAATAGTCGGCTTTTTTTTTTTTTTCCGTTAGAATAAATCACATTATATTTTGATTAATTAATAATCAAATTTATCGATTTTTATTTTTTTATTTATAAAATTTGTATTCAAAATTTATTTAATTTATTTTTTTATTTATAAAATTTAAATTTAAAATTTATTTTAAAAAAATTAAATTTTTTCCCTTCGAATCAATAATTTATTGATATAATCGGCTTTTATTTTTGCGGTTGTGGCAATATCCTTGTCATGCACGTCAGGTGTTCTTCGAAACTGATAATCCTTTTTCGTCAATCGGGCTTTGGCCTTTGTGGGTTTGTTAGGAGGGCTTGCTAATTTTTAAGCACTGTGGATCAATAACCTTTCAGTGCTGGCCCAAGCCTGCCCTTCTCGCTTCCAGCAGGGCCCTTTCCTTTGAACCTCAGGGGCGAATTGAGGGG